GGGTTGGGACTTTGGGGGGGGGAGGGGGGGGAGGGGGCGGTTCCTTGAGGGTCCCCTCAACTTCTTCTGGTCTCCTCACCAGCACCTACCGCGCCTCCAACATGAAGACGCCGGGCGAGCAGACGGTGCCGGCCCTCAACCTTCAAAACGCTTTTCGGATCATCAAGGAGGTCCAGAAACGTTACAAAACCCGAGAAGCTGAGGAGAAGGAGAAGGAGGTGAGGACCACGGAGGAGGTTTTTTGGGGTCTCCTGAGAAGTTGGGGACCTCCCCACCATCTCCCGATCTTCTCCAGGGCATCGTCAAACAAGATTCGTTGGTCATCAACCTCAACCGTAGCAACCCCAAGTTGAAGGACCTCTACATCCGTCCCAACATCGCCCAGAAGAGGATGCAGGGTTCCTTGGAGGCCCACGTCAACGGTACGGACGTGGGGTGGGACAGACGGACCTCCTGGAGGGGTTGGGGACCTCCTGCCGTCACCCCAAATTGTCCCCGCCTCCAGGTTTCCGCTTCACCTCGGTTCGCGGAGACAAGGTGGACATCCTCTACAACAACATCAAGCACGCCGTCTTCCAACCTTGCGACGGGGAGATGATCATCGTCCTCCATTTCCACCTCAAGGTCTTCTTCTGGGGGCGGACACCCGGTGGCTTTTAATTTTAGGGTGTAGGACCTCCCCAAAACGACGTCTTCTGGTCTCCTTCCGCCCCTAGAACGCCATCATGTTCGGGAAGAAGCGTCACACCGACGTCCAGTTCTACACGGAGGTGGGCGAGATCACCACCGACTTGGGCAAACACCAACACATGCACGACCGCGACGACCTCTACGCCGAGCAGGTCGGTTTGAAGGACCTTGGAAAGTCCTCGAGAAGGTTTCGGGGTGCCACCAGGCTGGAGGTGACCCCCCAACTCTTATTTGTCCTCCTCCTCCTCCTCCAGATGGAACGGGAGATGCGCCACAAGCTGAAGACGGCCTTCAAGAACTTCATCGAGAAGGTGGAAGCGCTCACCAAGGAGGAGCTGGAGTTCGAGGTGCCCTTCCGGGAGCTGGGGTAAGTGGCCACCAGCGTTTTTTGGGGGGCCACCATCGTTTCTGAGGTGTCTTCCATCTCTTTTTGAGGTGTCCTCATCATTTTTGAGGTGCCACCATCTCTTTTTGAGGTGTCTTCATCTCTTTGAGGTGTCTTCATCTTTTTTGGGGGGTGTCCTCACAGTTTTTGGGGTGTCCTCAAGCTTTTTTGAGGTGCCACCATCATTTTTTGAGGT